TGACCAAATATGGTAAAGACCATATTTGGTCAATAAGGTCCCCAGAATCCCCGGGTGATTTGATATAATTTACGACAGGAGTAGCAGCAGTGAACACCACCGGGTTGCAGGCCATTGTGTTGGTGCATTGACATTGCCTGGGGGGTGGAAACCGGGGGGGGGGGGCTCCTTTATTCTAAATGGGGCTTGCAGATTCCAATTAGTACCCCCCTTCAGACCCTCCCATTCTATTTGGGGTTAGGATATGGGATGAAGCCCTTCCCTACCCAGGCTGCATACCTGGATGAAGGACTTTTATAAAACTTATGGTGGGACCCCACTGCCTTTTTCCTGTTTGTTTTAAATTGTATAAAACATGTGTAGGGCCCTCCTTAAAAACGATAAAAGACCATTATCCAAGCATGCAGCCTGGATGACCAGTAAAGGTGGGACATAAACTTGTTCATTCAATAGTAGTATCAATATGTGCACTTTAAATGGATCTAGACACTGAGAAGGAAGTCAGTGACTTTATCTAATTACTGAACTACCACGTGTTTATGAAATCTTTTTGATCATCAAAAAGTCATATTTCAGTGAATGGTTGGTTGAGCAGCCTACTGGCTCAATATAGCTTTGGGGTACTCCAGTGATGAGATCGTAACCTTCATAGTTCCCACCTCTATTCCATCCCATGTTGGAATATGTCTCATTACTCAATAACTGAAATGTCCCCAGGCGTAGACTCTCTTCCTGTTGTGTTCTGCATATTATAAATTACCATACATGGAATGTAGGACACTTAAATTACTGCTATGATAGATGTGCAGACCAGGGGAAATCTAGCAGTGCTATCTAATCACCGGACGCCCGCTCTGAAAATACAGCAGAACCTATTATACAATGATATACCTTCTAGAAATAGGGTTTGGAGTAGACTATCCCTTCAGGCAAAACCTAGTAAAAGTGTCAGGAAAACTTCAATGGGACAGGGTAATTTTGCTGAAAGCTAAACTCCGGGCACAGACACTTTCATTTCTCAATAGCCTTAAAGTATATAGATCCACTTTGTGTGCACCAATTGCTTTTGCAAAAACGCAGAGGTGGGAGGGTCCAAGCAGGCCCCACCTGCTACAAGCTGCCTGCAGAAAGCTACAGGTGGGGGCGTATACAAGACCAGGCACCCTGCACAAAGACAGGAAGCAGCAGTGGTCTTTATTACAGGAAGCTCCTGGCAAGAGGCTTATTATCACACTGGATTATTGCACAGATCAGGAAGAAATACACAAAGCTCACCAAGATGCAAGTAAGAATACACATCCCTCTTGCATTCACACAACATTTGCTTATACCAGAGTTTAGATTTTTTTTTGTAAAAAACTGCATGCTTCTGGACGTGTTCTTTCCTTGACTAGCAATACTTTAAAAGCAATACAAAGTTATTGCAAACAAAGAGAAGCTAAGATCATTTTAACTTCTTAATGCTATATACTAGCAAATCTTTTAATATATAGAAAAAAAGAGACATTGAAATTTCAAACATAGTTTAAGGAAGCATAAAACACTGTATAAGAAAGAATAAACACAGTATAAGGAAGCATAATTACTCCCTGTGGAAAGTCGCACTTGGCATGACAGATAATGCTGAACAGTGCAGAGACTCTGCCACAGATCTGAGAAAATAAATTATTTTAAACTCCGGCATTTGAATGAAAAAGAAAAAGAATTTGCATGGTAAATGTCATTTTTTGTTTGCTCCAGAGCTCCGCATTATCAAAAGGAAGTTTCCCCAGACATATGTCGTACTGACAAACTAAAAATAAGCTGTAAGCAAGATGGGGGGATAAATTTAAGAACAAATGTAACTGGTAATATTTATACACCCTGCTTTCCTTTCCGACAGCACCACCTACAGCACAGACACTAAAAGAAAGAATAACAAGGCTTATACATGGGGCTTTTCATTCTACTAAAGTGTTAAAGGTAACCTGTCATGTGAGAAGCATGGAGGCTTTCATGGCTGACCTCTTCTTCTACTGGCTGTCATAAAGGCATTTTGGCCCTCTGGCTTCAATACTTTAAAGGCTACTCCCACATTGCAAGGGTTAACTGCTCATTTTTGTGTAGTGGACTTTTACTTACCTGATCACTGCTCCCACTGATCCAAGACTTCCCCCTCTCCATTCCGGTGGTCAGAAGCCCACTGGCTTCATAATGTCTATTGCAGGGCCCGTAGCCCTACATTATAAGTGAGGACGCCAAAGGGCAGCTTACAAGCTAGAATGGAGAGGAGAGGGATGAGCGCCAACCAACGGGGGAGTCGGGATCAGGTAAGTAAAAGTCCTCTTCACCTTATCCCTAAACCTAAGGTAGCCCCCCAAGTTTGGGGTTTTTTCTAACCCGGAGATAGGCTTAGAGTCACTGACAAGTAGGCAGATATAGACTTTTGACTTTTCTGATCTGGATGCTTGTTCTGGGTTAGCAACTCAAAGTTTTGAAAACAGTTGGTCAACATCACAACCAGGTATCTAGCATTTTCCAGAGGGTCAGCAGTGGCAGCCCTTGTGGGTTTTTTCTCAATCGCATGTTCTCATTAACCAGCAGCAATAACAAAAGTAGTGAATTAAATTGTCCATCCAAAAGTGATATGTTTGGTGGATTTGGTGGGTTTCTATGGCTAAAAACTTGTCATGGACATTAAAAGGAGTTCCCACTGTCCATGTTGGATTATTTATGTTATATTGCGGAAAATGCAATAGAAGACAGAACTTGCAAGATGCAAGGGGCCCTAACTGTGGACTCTGACAGCTCCAAAGGGCCACCCATAATATTTAGTATATGTCAGAGACTTTGGGCATACTAGAGGAGAGGATTAGAGACTGCAGACCTGGAGCCAGGGTGGTTGGAAGACCCACTACAGGAAATAGTGAGATCATGAGAGAATGTGGACATGCTAGAGACCACTCTCATCATAGCCCCTCTACAAATGAATGCTTCCACTAATGACTGCTAGGGTCTGTAAAAGGCCTCTCAGCAAGTCAGGGACATGCAGTATGGTCCATGGCAGATGGGGCACCCCCCCTCCCCCCTGGCCCACCACAGGCTCGGGCACTGATCTATGTGTGGAAGAGGGAGGGAGGAGACAGGGAGGAGGCTCCCTGACCCTCATTTGTTCGTCAATGATGAGGCATCTAGATGGATGCCGTCAGTGTTTTTTTATTGGACGTCTTGGACCAATGGCCTTTGCCATTGGTCCAATCAATCCACAGAGCTCAAGCCTCTGACTCCAAGTCAGAGGCTGTTGTAGCTCTGGCCTCACTGTGTTAGGTTACACACAGCAGCGGGGATGAGCCGGATGAAGCGACGCCTGTAATTAACAGGTGGGACTTCGTCCATGGCACGTTATACAGCGGGGAAGCTTTCCCCACTGTGTAAGCTGTTAGAAGCCGGTCTAAATGAAGAAAAAGCTGTCAGCTTCAGCTCTTTCTCACCTGCCTACCCAGACCGCATGTCCCTGCAGCAAGTACCTACGTGCCACAGTCTGGGTACTAGGGATGCAAGACATAAGAAGCCACAGGGCGCACTTTCTCTAGTTCTTAAAGTAGGATAATATTATGGCATAAATGACACACATATACAAAAATGTAAGATGTCACTGCATACGATACAGTAAAGAGTAATCATGTGTCCAGTTCAATGTGAGTTCGAGCAGCCAATCAGATTTAAGTTGACTGTCCGATCAGTGAAAAGTCAAACCTGATTGGCTGGTATAGATTAACGCAATTTGCCCAATTAAGTCCGCAAAACACATGTGTTCTAATAATGTAATTACACAGTACAGCCAGGAAGGGTCTGCAGTATACTGTCACCATTATACTAAAGATACATGACCTCTGGGGGGATGTGGGATGGATCACATCACAGCTCTTTGAAGTGATACACAGAGCGCTTTATACCTGACAGGACAAATCATAACATTGCAATCTTTTTTGAGGATAAAGATTCCTTTTGCACATGTACAGGCCATAACCATCTGGAGTGAAGAATGTAATACTTGATTATTTGGATTTATCTATAAATCGGGATTTCTGTTTTTCAGAATTCCGCTTCTCATTATAAACATGTAATTTGCAGTTATGGGTTTGCTTTGCTGATGCCTTGCTTGGGTCTGCTCATCTACTAATACTGTACATTTCATAGAGGTGTACTATAGTGGGCTACTGGGCCAGATACAGCATATATACAGAGAGATCTGGTTTATAGCCACTGCAGTGGGCTAAATGCTGAGCACAAATTGGTCTGAGTAGAATTTAACCCTGCTGGGTCTGCATCCATGGCAATGCACACTCAGGCCTTTTTAAAGAGGGTTCATCTGCAATGATCAATGTCTGGTAATTCTGTTTCATTCCCCAGCCCAAAAGAGGTGCCTGGATGAGTCATTGGTTACTAAGGTGATATGCAAATGCTACCTTTGAAATTTTCTTTTTCACATCCAGGAAGTGAAGAACATTGGGATCTGACAGCATTGAATATATTACAATAATTGATTTTGTTTCGGTAGCCTATCTATTAGTCAATTCACAACCATCAGGAAATCTCTCTTTTAATGAAGTTCTTTTTTTTTCTTACAGGGAAGCTGGCGTATGAGTTAACGACTGCCAGTAATGATAAGGTGGCAGATGCAGGATGTTGTTCTGCAAGGGTTAACCGCTGAGTTGTATCATAATTCCGTCTATTCTGCATCACTTGCTGATCAATAAAGTTCACATTAAAAAGATGTAATGGAGCAGGCATCAGTAAAACACAGGCAATTGGAAAACCTGACTTGGCTTACTCATGAACCCCCCCGAAGAACTGAATTAATCATTTAGAATTGCTATCAATGGCGTGTAAAGAGGGGGGCTGGGCTACAGGGGGAGGGGGGGGGTTTTGCCAGACACACAGATCAGGAGCAAGAATATACACAACACTTTAAATGGGGGGGAAAGAAGGGGGGTGTATAATAACAACAAACGTCTTACATCTTCCTCCTCACAGTCATGCCGCGCTTGGTACTGATAAGAGGGTCTCGTCTCAGGCGGTGGGCGTGCTGAGGTGGTCTTGCCGGCCGCGTCCTCTTCTGCATTTTGGCCACCCAAAAGGTGACTGGCTTCAGGTGGCATGGGGAAAGACCTAGACGTGTTGATCTTGCCAGTGAACCTCTGGTACAGCGAAGCCATCCAGTCAATCCTTTCAGCTTCACAAGAAAAAAAGTCAGCCTGGCAAACTGTCTTTTAACCCGTTTTATTAGAGATCAATTGGCACAGGGGGTGGGCAATAGAAGAAGAGAAAAAAATGTGGAAAAATAAAAAACACACACACAAAAAAAAAACAAGCCAACAGGGCCCATAAAGCTTCAACCAGAAAGAAGAAAAGTCAACCATCCAACAGAGATCTTATATAGTAGCCACTAGCATTTAATAAGAGACAAACCACTGGGGCGAACAGCTTTCCAATCACTCTTCAGCCTGAGGTGTCCGATCAATTGGCTGTGGAGGCTGCATGCCAACAGTCCATAGGAAGGGGGGAGAGATTGAGGGAGAGAGAGAGAGGGAGAGAGTGAGAGGACTCAGAAAGAGTCAACACATCATTCAGAGCACGTTGGCTGCTTCCCTTCTCCCTTTGTGTATATGGGGAGAGGGAGGGGGGGAAGGCTTTGCGAGTATTTTCCTGCTAGGTTTTCACTAATCTTGAAGAGCAACAGCCACCTGATTGAAATGAATCCGTAGAGTGCAGGAGAGGAGGAGGAGGGTGGGAGAAAAGCGCTGAGACAGAAGGAAGTAGGAGGGAGGGAGGCGTTACAGAGAATAACTGCATCCCCGACCACTCTCCGTGGTGCTGAAACGTATTCGCCTATTCCCGCCGCATGTCAAGCGTAGCCGTCCGCGATCCTCCATCAGTATGTACGTCCCGGTCCTTCTCCGCCGCTATCCTCTCCGTCCTCTCATCTACAGCCTCCCCCCCTCTCTCTCTCTCATCTGCTTTTCAATGATGTGTTTGCTTCTCTCTCAGAACAAACATGTTGCAGATCAGGCGACAGCAGAAGCAGCTGCATTCTCACTGAAGGAACAGCGAGCGTTCGGATTACTAATACGTGACAATGGGACAATCAGGAGATGAATGAAACTTTGCCGAGTGCAAGTCACTTAGAAGACCTACTGGAGACAGAGAAGTTGGGGACTTGAAGGGCCAACAATACTCTGATTTATTTATTTATTATAGGTGCCGGCAATTTACGTAGCTCTTTGCACAATTGCACATTCACGTCAGTCCCTCAAGGAGCTTACAATCTAAGGTCCCTATCTCACATGCCTACATACAAGGGCCATGATAGACAGGAGCCAATTAACTTTCCAGCACGTCTTTGGAGTGTGGGAGGTAACTGGGGTACCCAAGGGGGAAACCTACACAAGCACAGGGAGAACATATAAACTCCATGCAGATAGTGTCCTGACCGGGATGTGAATCACAGGCCGGTGTTGTGACAAAACAGAGTTTTCCTACATACGCATGACTTTATGTCCTGAGGAAAGCTGCCAGATGTCACATTTAAGCCTCTTTAGATTACTGTAGCAGCCAACGTGGAATCATAGACTGCTCAGCATACCTGTTTTCATGAATATGAACCTTTCTGGGGGTTATTAAAGGTAAAGTCCACCTGAAAAAAAGAAAAGTACAAATGCACACATCTGCATGAATGAAAAAATGTGCATTTATTATTATTATTATTTTTTTAAAACAAGGTGGACTTTACCTTTGAAGTGATATTAAAGTCAAATGGATTGTAAGCTCTCTCACATGCTGATGAAATCACTGACAATGGATGCAGCTTTGTGATGTTTATAAGTTTGTTTCCTGCAGAACCAGCTCCCCCGAGCACTGGTCCTGACTTCCTGTTTTAAGACTTGTTTACACCAAGTCCGGACCAGATCTGGAATGCGTTTCTGCAAACGCAGTATGGTGTGTTTTAGATGTGTTCCCGTCAGGGGCGTCCTGAGGCCGGGTGTCACCCGGAGCAGATACCATGTGACACCCCACGGTGACGTCACCACGTGTGTGCGCGATCATCTTTTTTATACCTGCCGGTGGCCATCTTGGTGATGGACGCCGGCAGAGAGAGGAGGGGTCGTTCACCTGGCAGGATAAGGTATGCCGCCGGGTCCCCTCCTCTCTCTCCTGCAACTGTCGGGCTCTCTGTCCGTGACCGAGTGCCTGACTTTTCAGAGGGGGTGACGCCAAAATGACTGTCAGCCATTTTGGTGTCACCCCTCCAATGGTGTCACGCGGGTGGGAGCGGCACCCCCTGCACCCCCCTTGTGATGCCACTGGTTCCTGTGCATTTTTTTAAAGCCTGAATGTGCTGTCTGGTGCGTTCCAGTGCATTGACGCATTTACATGCATTTTGGTGCAATACAGACCAGAAAAAATAGTGAACGGACTTCACTGGCATGAACAGAGCCCAGAAATATCATAGGAATACATTGGGATGCATTTCAGTTCAGGCAAAAAACATTCTGGTCCAGGTCTGGATTCGGACAAGGTGGGAACAAGCCCTTGGGGTGGCTCCTTTCCCTTGCAGGGTCCTATGGAGTCACCCTTGTGTGTGCTAGTAAGCTGTATGTGTCTCCACCAACACACATCTTACTGATGTCTCCTTCACACACCGTACTGATGTTCCCCAGAATCCAATGGGTGCTGGAACAGCTGGTGGATGGGGCCACACTATACAGTCGAGGATATGTTGTCTGCACACAGAATATCATCTTCATTGGTATTCCTTCAGCATAACATTTCTGGGCCTTGCAGAGCCCCTTCATCAGGCACAGCAAGGCAAGCCACTCCCCTGTTCCTGCCTTCCCCTTCCTCCCTCTCCTTGCTAGTAGATGGACAGCTGCTGGAGACTGCTCTGTCCCATGTGACCTTGTACTGGACAGGAAGTTCAGGGAAATGGAGTGTAGAGAGTTGGAGCTGTTTGGAAAGATGATGGGGGGAATCTATCAGATTGGGAGCAGACAAAATCTGAAGCAGCTGTGCATGGCAACCAATCAGCTTCTCTCTTCAGTTTGCTCCGTTAAGATTTATTAATTGAAATAGGGAGGTTGATTGGTTGCCATGGGCGACTGCTCCAGCTTTTGTCTGCTCCAGTTTTGATAAAGTCTGAGTGTTTGGGCAACAATGTAAACAAAATCTTTTCTGGGCAATGTATATTTCTTTGATCTGGATTCATTATTGAAGGAAAGTTTGAGAGCTTCATATAACTTTAATAACAGCCAGAACGGTTCATGTTAATGATGTGTGTCGGCTGTGTGTGCACGTTGTAGCCGGATTGTACCAACTCCTTGTGATTTACCTGCAATGTGATGAGAAGAAACACCAGATCTTGGTTTTTTTGGTTTTACTTCTCTTAGTAATGTCCTCCTGAGACCCAAATTTAACAGGAACGTCCTATAATAAAGACCAGTCACTGCTGCTCTCTCTCCTTATTCAGGGTGACTGGTCTTGTCTCTGCCCCCCTCCTTTAGTTTTCTGCAGGCAGACTGTAGTGGGTGGACCTGCTGGGCCCCTCCCACAGCTCTACTCTTTGCATAGACTATGTACAGCACAGTGATGATGTCACTGCTACTTTTACAATGTAATAACTGGGTTTGCAATGGTATTTGGTCACATAAAATGGATTTATATTGTTTGTGGCTATTAAGTCATTAAGGAATATATTTAAATGAAAGCTCCTTTGCCCATTTTTAAGCTTTAGCTAGTGCAAGGGTGTAGCTAATTGTATATGTACTACAAAACTGTTGGTAGATAAGACGATTGCGCAGTCGGGTTGTAGTATGTGTAGCCAGGTTTAGGGGTGACCAAATGAAAAGCTGCCCATGGAAGAAGTTTTTGATTTATTTATTTTTATTGTAAGTCATTTTCATTGTGCAATTGTAAGAACGTAAGTCCATTATTCAATGCACAAGATTCTCAAGCGGATATGACATGGGTAGGCACCCCTCTTGTGTTGAAACTACAAATCCCATCATGCCTCTGCCTGTCAGCGTCATGCCTGTGACTGTCAGGGTCTTGCAAAGCCTCAGGGGTCTTGTAGTTGAAACACAGATGGAGTGCTGAGGTTGCCAACCTCTGGCTTATAATGTGATCAGGCTGCTTACAAAAGGTATTGTTAACCTGGAACTAAACTCCACGTTAGAAATCGTTGCCGGCAGCCAGGAGACTCTGCGAGGGTAATGTATCCAAACTGGAGCAGACAAAATCTGGAGCCGCTGTGCATGGCAACCAATCAGCTTCTCGCTTTCATTTTCAAATCCTAACTAAACAAACTGAAGAGAGAAGCTGATTGGTTGCCATGCACAGCTGCTCCAGAATTGATCTGCTCCAGTTTGGATAAATTCCCCTCACAGAGTCTCCTGGCTGCCGGCACAAATTCCCTCTGTAGGTCTCCCCTGCAAAAAAAAAAACAACATACCTGCCAGCAATGATTTTGCCATATACATGGAAGTGAAAGAACAACTCCGGGGTCTTAAAAAGCTGACGTACCGCCACACCGCAAGGGTTACCTGCTGTTTGTTCTCTAGGGGATGAAAATAAAGAAGATGCACTCACCCGATCCTCGGTCCTGCAGCAGTGACTGCTCACATCCCTCCCCCTCCGTTCCAGCTGTGGTATGTCCCACAGCATCTTCACGTCTAAAGCTCACCACACACACACGTTACAATCTGATTGTACAATCTCCTTTAGATCTACCAACAAGTGTGTAGTACAAGAGCCGCCCTGATTGTATACAGATTGATTGGATAGAATAAGTTGGCCCTCATATTACATAGTTTTGGTGGATCTAAAGTTGGTTGTATAGAGATTGTACGGCCAGATTGTAATGTGTGTGTGTGTGGTGACCCTAACAGACCTGTATTATGAAGACTTTACAGGTCCTCAGACTACCAGAGCCCGGGGGAGAAGAAGCTGTAGGGACCGGTGTAGCAGCCAGGCGGGGCCGAGGATCACGTGAGGATTTCTTCTTTGTTTCCGTCCCCTAGACAGAACGAGCACTTTGGGTGACTATAACTTTTTTTTTTAGAATGCAGACAAAAATAGAAATCTTAACCCTTACAGTGCGGGGGTATCCCAACTGCAAGGGTTAAAGAAGAGCTCTGGCCAAAAATGTTCTTAACTCTTGCACTGGGGCTACCCCTGCACTGCAAGGGTTAAGTGTTCATTTTTGTCTCGGTGCAAAAAAAACGTATCCCTGAACCCTCTCTTTTCCTCTGCTGCAGCAATGGTATGTCCCTCAGCAGCCTCATGTCCCATACACGGTGTATAGAACATGGTGACTGAAGGATCTAGAGGCCTTGTTCACACTAGACCCAATTCTGACCAGAACGCACTGCATCGCATTGCGGCCGGCTCACTATGTTGTGGGGCAGGAAGGGGCGTGGTGGTCCATTGAAGTGAATGGCAATGTGATCCGCCGCACGGGAACACAAGGCACATTATGTCTGCGGTCTGGCCCGGTCCAAACAAAATAGTGCTTGCAGCATTTTGTTCGGACCGGACCGCACCGCACGCATAATCTGCCTTGCATTCCTAAGCGGCCGATTGCATTGCGGCCGGACCGGTCAATGGACCGCCTCGCCCCCTCCTGCCCCACAACATAGTGAGCCGGCCACAATGCGATGCAGTGCGTTCTGGTCAGAATCGGGCCGGAACGCACTATGTCTAGGCCTTAGACTGCTGCAGCGGAGGTGGGGGGGAGGGGGGGCGGAGAGTCCCCAGGAACCAAGGGGTAAACCTTTTTTTAGCACCTAGTCAAAAATGAACAGTTAACCCTCGCAGTGCAGGGGGCGGGGGGATGTAGCCTCACTGCAATGGCTAAGAACATTTTTACCAAGAGTTCTGCCTTAACTTTTATAATTCC